TGCCCTGCACTGCCAGCCATCTGGTGAAGTCCATCTTATGTCCACATGGGGTCAGCCATCTTTGACCACATGGGGGTGGCCATCTTATGTTTTAGAGTGATAGTGTATTTGCATATTACTCTTTTATTAGATAGGATGCTAAGAGAAACAAGAGTAGATATATCTTTTCAAATATCTTGTTTGTTTTCTTCAGCTAAATATACAGTGGAATTACTAGGTCAGATAGTAGTTATATTTTTTAATAATTTTAGGAATATTCATACTGTATTCTACTGCACCAATTTAGAATCCCCCCCCCTATAAAGCATAATTTTCCCCTTTCTCCACATTCTCCTCAATACCTGTTACTTGTTGACCTTTTGTTGCTAGCCGTTCCACCAGGTTTGAAGTGTTATCTCATTGTGGTTTCAATTTGTAGTTTGAATTCTTATGATTAGTGATTCAGAGCATTTTTTCATGTGTCAGTAGGCAATGTGCATGTTGTCTTTGGAGAAATGCCTATTCATGCTCACTGCCCAATTTCTAATTGAATTGTTTGGGTTGTGCTTTTTTTTTGTGTTTTTGTTTGTTTGTTTGTTTGTGTTGAGTGCTATGAGTTCCTTATGAATTTTGGATATTAGCTCATTATAAGACATGCCATTTGTAAATGTCTTCTCCCATTCAGTAGGTTGTCTTCTTGTTTTGTTGATGGTTCCTTTTACTGTGCAGAACTTTTACTTTTATTTTGATGTATAATAGTAACTTATATTTTTTATTTCCTTGCTCAAGGAAGCATATCCATAAAGATAGTGTTTCACATGTACCTGTTCGATTTTTAAAAGAAAATTTATTAAAGAGACTGTCACATCTCCATTGTATATTCTTACTTCTTTGCCCTATTTATGTTTGAAATGTATCACAGTAAAGCAGAATGCAAACTGCTAAGTGTAATATTCTTGTTTCTTAAGCAGAAACTTTAATTTTGCATACAATATTTTCCATGAATATTATATTTAAACTAGTGGCCCAGTGCACAAAATTTGTGCTTATTAAATGGGGATTAATTGGAGGAAATATTTTAATATTGCTATTTGCCCTTTCTCTATTATAGCAGTGTCAGAGATGAAAGAAAATTAGTAAAATGTATATGAAAATCTTCTCCTGTCAAAGTCTGGGGCCTGCCACGGGACCCAAAGTCAAGGCCCTGCCCATCCACAGCACCTCAAAATTGCATGAGACCCAGACCCAGTCAGCTCCACCCACATTGGGTGAGATCCAAACTGGCCGGCTCCACCCTTATCAAGTCCCGCTGGGTGGGGTGTGAGGGGGCACAGCCTCAGGTCCCATGGCCTGGCACCAGGCAGGGGGTGCAGCCTAAGGGCTCCCGTCCAGCCACACAGGGTTGGGGAACAGCCTCATATCCCCCGACAAGCCACACCAGATGGGGGGTGCACCATCCGGTCTCCTAGCCCAATGCCAGGGTGGGGAGTGCAGCTGAGGTCTCCCATTAAGCCCTGCCAGTTCAGGGGCATGGCCTAAGGTTCCCTGTCAAGCCCCACTGGGCAGGCAGTGTGGTCTGAGGACCCCCAGCCCGGTGCAGGGGTAAGGGTCATGGTTGAGGTTCCCTGGCCCAGAGCTGGGGCAGGGGGATGACCTGAGGTCCCCTGTCAAGCTCTACCAGGGTAGGGGCGCAGCCTCAGGTCCCTGGCCTGGCCCAGAGCCAGGAAGCCTCAGGTCCCTGCTGATTGCTCGTTAAGGCTCATTATGAGAACTCGACCTCCACTATGGGCACCGCCATATTCTTTGATGGTGTGATGGTCAATTTGCATATTCCCTTTTTATGACACAGGATATACCCTTTCTTAGTTGTTAGTTGTTTTAAAACTAGTAATGAATCAAAAAGTTATCTTCACTGGTAACTCAATGAAAACAATATTGCTGTACAGTCGATGAAGGTTGTTAAAAATGATCCTCTGAGGTATTGAATGTGCCAAACATACCCCTGGCGATCCTAACCAGGACAGCAATCCTCATACATCTGCCCAGGCAGGTCTGTGTGTCTTCACTCTGATGGCACCAGGTGTCCTGGCTCATTTAGTTCACATTCTTTCTATCACAAAATGCCAAACCCTCTTCAGCTTGAAGACAATTTTGGATGCAGGCATTCTGAACACCAGATAAAAAATAACCCAAGGTGTGTTTGCAAAAGCATGTACTGTAATGTTGATACATCAGAGTAGAAGATAAAAGGCATAATCTCAAAGAGACTGTTGGGTGTAAATGCCTGTTCGAGATTACAGTGATTTCATCCATAGCGTCTTTACAAATGTTACTTAAGCCATAACATTTTAGTGAAGAGAATAGACATAATTATTATCTGCTCCACACAGCAGTTAAGTGGTTTTCTCTGCTCACAGATGTGCTTCCATCTCCCTCACCCTCACCTTTAAGGTCGCTTTGATAGTGTGGGTGGTGGAAAGAAGGGTCAGCAGGCCCCGCCCAAAGTCCAAAACCAGCACTGCCTTCTACACTCTGCTCCTGCTTGCTCAGGGACTTTTAGTTTATATCAAGTTTGCTGATTTCAACATCTGCAATTTTTAAACTAGGCATCATTGCTTAACTCCTGGGTGGTATAGAGAGATGAAATATTAAATGATAACATGCCCATTGAGTGACACACAAATACAGCAAATTTTACTTTAAAAGTGCCTTAGAAACTTCCTTTATCAGAGGTTTTTTCATAGTGATACATTTGAAGATAAAAATAAATGGGAATAAGATTTTAAGTTCATTTTGAAAATTAATGTTGTTACCAAATATGTTGCCTTTTGCTTCATTAATTTAATCTGGCATATATCTTCTGTTTGTTTAGTGAAAATAGACACATACCTAAACAAATTCAGTCGTTGTTCACCAAGGACTCAATTATTTCTGAGGATTACACACAGAGACACACACAAAAACAAACAGACAAACAAACAAGTATAAACTGCCATGTTCACATCAATCCATGTCCACAGGGTGGCACAATTCTATGGCAGCATACAAAGACTTGGGCACATACTCATGATCCATTTGGGAATTGATTAACTGTGACTCCATATACAAGTCTCAGTGTATTATTCCAGGCTACAGGGGATGCTGTTATTGGCATTTAAAGAAGCCCTGTCTCCATATAATATACTAACCCATCAATGCTCTCAACTGAACATAGGCTTATCTACTGGAAATACCTACGCAGTTTATAAATATACTAGGATCCCAGTGCACAAATTTGTGTACCTTGAAAGAAACTGTGGGCTGCAGGGCTGCAGTGGGCACAGGGGCGGGTCTTGGCCCATCCTCCATGCCCCCGCTTGGCCCCTCCCACTTTGGCCCCCAGTTTCCTGTCTGATGGAGCCCCACTGCTGCCACCACCGCTCCCACACGCTGATGGCAAAGGAAGGTGGAAAAGCCCTCAGCGGGGATCAGGGAAGGCAGCCACCACTCATACCCACTGACAGCACCAGGTAATCAGGACTGGCGCCGGGCACGCGCAGAGGGTGCGAGTGGCAGCTCTGGCACTGGCAGTGAGTGGGAGCAGGGCCGTATGTGGCATACGAAACAATAGGGGCAAGTTTTGATGTGAAGCAGTATCATGTCAAGGACTAAAGCTTAATATAGGAAACTATTTTCACAACTTTGAAATAAATCTTGATAAATTGGACCATATTAAAATTATGAATTTTTTGCCATCAAAAAAAGTTTTTAAAGATGAAAAGCCTAGGAGAATAGTGGAATATGGTGATTGTGATATATATGACACACATATATGTATATATAGGGGTGAGCAGAAGTAGGTTTAGAGTTATTTGTTAGAAAATATACATAATACAATAATAAGTAATAACACAAGAATAAATTGTGTGTTTCTAGTACTCACAACTCTAAACCTACTTTTGCCCACCCTGTAGATATGTTTGTATATTTATATAACTAACAAATAACTTGTGCATGTAAATCCTGAAAAATAAAGAGATAATCCAGATGAAAAACAGATAAGAAATTTGAAATACAGACTTTGGAAAAGAGAATGTACAAATAACCAATAAATCCATTAAAACATGATCAATTTCATTAACCATTAGGAAAGTGCAAATTCAGACTACACACCCATCAAAATCAATAAATTTAAAATGTATGATAATAGAAAATGTTTCCAAGGACATTGAATAACATAAATTTCAACAAATTGATAATATAAATGAGAATTGATACATCCCTTTGGAAAACTATTTTAATTGTCTCATAACATTGAAGGCATGTGTACCAAAGTACAACCATTTCTTTCTGCTATTTTAAAACCATGGTTCTTACAAATTTTATTTGCAAAAACAAGTAATGGGTTAGATTTGACCCACTGGTCATAGTTTCCCCCAATATATCTTACAGCAGGAAAAGCAAATTATAGTTATGCATGAAAAGAGAAGGAGCACAGATGTGGCTGTTGGGGGTGGGCAACGTATTATCTCCTACCAAGGTCAATCTTTTTTTTTTTTTTTTTAGAAATGAAACAATTAAGTATTTGCTTTATTTATATATTAGGCTTAGACCCGTGTTTAACAAGCCAGCCTAAAATAGCACCATGGTTAGACTATGGCCTGCTTTCAAAGCCATCATTTTACAACTTATGCAAAGGGATCAAACATCTCTCATCCACCTGATGAGATCTTTTTATACACATACTGCTGGTAAATCCCATTTGGAACAGCTGAAAACCTTTTTAAAAGCTTTGCAGATGAACTCATGAACACAAATTTCACCAGTTAAGCTAGGTTGAACAGAAGGAACGCAAAACAAATTGTTGCCCAATCAGAGCTCATTATTTGTAAATCAATGGCCTGCTCCCCATCTCCCACCCCCCTTAAAACAACCTGACTCAATCATTGAAAATCTACATGTAATGTATTGAAAGAATTTCCATTACCCAATTTCTCAACCCAGATTAAAAATTTAAAAAAAGCCCTATAAGGAATACTTACCAAAATCTGATAGGAAAATTAAAGCCTACATAGTTATGAATCAGAATTGTTCCATCACAACCAGGTTGCATACAATTACATCAAGTGGTTCTGTATACAATCTAGAATTGACCAGGACAAAGTTTAGGATAGAAAAGCTGTAAGAAATAGGTTCCTAACTATAGAAATTGTAAATTTCAAAATGGTATGAAGAAACTAATGGAAATTCTACTCTTGTGCCTTTACATTTCAAAGAAATAGACTTTCTATAAAAATATATACAATTTTTACAGACATTTACAAGTTGTTTTTATCTTAAAAATTGAGGACAATCCACATTTGTAGCTACAATTATTGGTGTTTATATTTAACAACTCCCTAATTTAGAAACCTTCTTGATATATTAGATTAGAATTAACATTGATAAACTTTGCATAAATTCTTGTTTTAAATTCCCTTTCTACCCTTCTAGTCTGAGCACATACATTTGATAAAGAGTCGTTTTATTTTATTTTTAATTAAAAGACATCAATAAATGCACTGAAGCCACAAACTGATATTCTAAGTTCCTGATCCCCAAATAGGTAGACGTACCTGGGAGATTTTCTCCTTACCATAACAGAAGGAAAAAATCTTCCCATGCATGGGGAAGACTAGGTGTAGACCCATTGTCTGAAGTGGAGCCAGGACAGCTCTGTGGGCTGTGCACAGTCTGTAGTTGAGCCTTGATAGCTGTTGGCATTACTGGGAGGAATTGACCTCCCAGCTAATTTGTTGTGAGGGTCATACACAAGTATAGTTGTGGGAGAGTTGCCATGCAGGAGACCCCCCTATGGAGCAGAACTCACTTCAGTGGGGCTTTGGTGCTCCCTGAGTCTGCCTCTTGATTGTGTCACTTTTGGATATGTAAAGTCATAATGTGGTATGGTCTGAAACTGTTCTTCAGGTGCACTGGCTCTGGGGCCTCCCAGGAGGAGCAAAGTCAACCACTGCCTGAGTCTGCCTGGCAGGAGGTACAAGAGTGATCTGAGATAGCTGCTACTTGTGTTACACTTAGAATTGTGCAGGTGAAGCCAAGTTATGAAGCAAGGCAGACTGCTGCTAGTGTCAGGTCCTGGGCCTCTGTTTGATAGTTATGGGTCACACTGATATCAGCTGATGCTTGTTTGAGAAATTTATGCAAATCTAAAGCCTGAGGTAGGGCAGGTCATTCATATGGGAAGGCTGTTCCAAACAGCTTGGGTATGGCTGCAAATTGGACCTGAAAGAGTCTCTGGAAATCACCATGGTGATGAAAACAGTGTTAGCCAGGTTGATGGAGACTCAGATATGGCTGCCAGTCATCTCTGTGACAGGGGAGATCTCAATAGATGAACAATGAATGCTGTAAGCACCCTTGACTGGGAGAAAGCTGCCCCAAGGTTTCTCCTGGTATGTCCCTCCATCCCCCCAAGCTGTTGCCTCAGCTCTGGAGCCCAGAAGGTGTGAGTCCAAGTGTGTGTACCAATCCGTTAAAGGGAACTGCCTGCACGTCCAGCAGCCTCCGTGTCACTGAGCCACAATCCCCAATGATTTTTACAGTCCAGAGTTACAGGGACTTCTCTCCCAGGCACTGGCAGCCTAGGCTGAGATGGCTGGCATGGGGCTTACTCCTCACAGGAGGCCTTCTCAGCTGAGATATCCCTCCAAATTAAAAACACACTGCACATGGGTGTGGAACCTGTCTATTCTGTGCTTCTGCCCTTCCTACCAGTCTCAATTTACTTTCTTCTTTTCTTCTTTTGTTGTAGCACTTCTATTCAGCCAGATGTCAGGTGGTTCTGAATGATGGTTGTTCTGTATTTTAGTTGTCATTTTAATTTGGTTGTGGAGGGCGGCAAGTACCACATTTTCGTATTCTGCCATCTTGGTTCTCAAGTCCCATCCTTGCTGAAAACCGAACATTATCACTAATAGAGAAATGTGAAAAGGGAATCCAGAAGGCTGGTCAACCCTAATCACTCTGAATGGTCGGAGCTATTCACTCATTGTTTAGTTGAGACATTGGTAGTTAAAGCAATCTCCACCTGTTAATCATATGTAAATTCTTGCTGATTGTCTATTATTGAAATTTCCTGCCAAAAGGATATGGGTGTTTCCCATAGCCTCAATAAAAGGGATAGCAAGGCCAGAGCAGTGGTAGTCCTCCCCATAAAGGTGGACTCCTGCCTGGCTCCCCATTTTCCCAAATTAACTCTTTTCCAGTCTCTTTTCATTTGTGTGCGGCCTTCTCCAGAACACAGAACCCTGAACCATGCGGGATGTGATAAGGGATCCCACATATCCTCTTGCTTCTTTATTATTTACTTTATTTTTGCTGTTCTGATTGAGTGATTTTTAAATTTTGTATTCAGTCCTCTGTTTCATCCAGCCTACTGATACTCCTTCCAATGTAATCTGTATTTCAGATAGGCATTTTTCATTTCTGGCTTATTTTTTTCATGGTTTCTATATCTTTCTTCATGCTTTGTTATTCTCACTAAATTCCCTGAGCATCCTTATAGCCATTACTCTGAACTATCTGATAAATTTCTTGCCTCCACTTAACTTAGCTCTGTTTCTGGAGTCTCTGCTGTTTCTTTTCCTTTCCATTTTGGCTATCTCTTTGTGTTTGTTTCTATGTATTAGATAGGACTACTAGAAGGAGTCTCAAGACTGAGATAGGACTCCCAGTCTTGGTGGCATGGTCTTCTATTGTAGGTGTCCTGTGGTTCCCAGTGGTGCAGTCTCCGTGATCTCCTCAGCTGGGTTCTCAGTAATATCTCCTGTGTGAGTTGTTTGGACCCCCTTGTTATAGTGTCTTGATTGCTGATGGCATTTTCATGGTTGGGATCAACTTTTAGGCTGGCTGACTATGAGACTCAATTCCAACCATAGTGTGCAGTCTTGAGATGACTTTATGGGCATGGTAGCACAATAATTAACCCTTCAGGCTATGTGTTTATGAACTAAACCATGTTTGAGATGTTGTACAGAGGCTGTCCCCCAAGTTGTTCCGGCAGGTCTGGATTCTGCTGGGATCCACCTTCGAAATTCCCAGATCTGCTCCAGTTCTCAACTCTGCAGTGTGGTCTGAAAATACCTGGCTTGCCCTACTCCCCTGAACCATCACCCCAGCAGAATAGAACAGTCCAGGATGCTACATAGGTGGGGGGAGGGTTTCAACCTTGTGCTTGAGGTGGGAGAAACCTTTCCCTAAGCTAGACAGTTCAGTCATTCCTGGGGCTCCACTCAATGCCTTGTAAGAAAGAAGAGGTCCCGCAAAGACCCCTCTGCTGGACTCAATCACAGTAACGCAGCTTCTCTCACAGTCAGAGCCCAGGACTTGGGCTGCTAACACTAGGAGCTCTCCTTCACTGGGAAGGTGTGGTTGGAGTCTCCCAGGAGACACCCCTGTGTCCCTCTGCCCAAAGCTATGTGGGCTCTTCTTCCTGTCTCTGCCACTCTGGGTTTCGGATCCCTACCTGGGGTTATGACCCCACCCTCCCAGGGTAAGGGAGTTTGCAGCCATTATCCCTTGGGCCTTTCAGCCATCATACCTGTTCAAGTAGGGGAGCCCTCTCTCTGCACCTTCTTTAGTGCTCCTTCAATATACTATTTCCAATCAGCTACACTTCATTTGCTTTTTTAGTTGATTGCACAGTATTTTAGCTGTAAATCCAGTCCCTGGGGGGAGAAGGGGAACAAGGGCACATAACCCCCAGCCACTCTGCAGCCATCTTGCCTCTTCAAGTTGACTGTGCCCTATGATTTGGTAGCAAATCCATTCTGCCTCATTCTTGCCCTGGGAAAGAAATGCTTTTCTGGGTGCTCTCAGTTCTTAGTTATCCCTCAGAGAAGCACCACGGCTCCTGAGTCTCAGGATGGTCTGGAAGAGACCACGGAATCATCCTATCCTATTGTGCTTTAGAAACTTCATTCAAACATTTGGCTTTTTCATCAAGAGCTAATTCATTCCTGAGGAAGAATAAAAATAAATGTAAATGGGTGGAGTGACTAAGAAGCTGCCTTAACCACCAGATCTAAAGTAGTCAAATTCTTAATGAATATCTGCTATGTGAACTGTGTTATACTAGAAACAGAGATTACAGAGGCAAAATCAGACATAGCCTGTCCTATGATGTGCCAGCTAAATTTGGGGTTGGGTAGGTACCTACTGAATAACTATTGACATCTGACTATGTTCACTCAGACTCACTTTCTGATTCACTGTGACCAGCCAATCAAACATGCCTCCCTGAGACCGCATCCTTGGGTGTGACTTTAAAAGAGAGGGAAGGTAGAAGCAATAGCTTTGAGAGCCCAGGAGCAGGGTGGTCCTGGTTTCTAGTGGCAACGGCGAATCTGTGAGGCTGGGAGCTGCCGCACCCTCTGCTCAGCTGTTGGCATTGAATGCCCTGCAGAGTTGGTTCTATAGTGTTGAAGGGCCTGGTTTCTTTACCCTGACTTGTATGTAAGCCTGACTCACTAATATTTTCTAGAGTGTTATTAGTTCCTTTCTGTCACTTGTTTGCAGCTCAATCTATAGTCAGTTTCTTTTATTGCATAGTTTTAAAAAATTATTTCTATTAAGAAACATATCTGATAAAAACCCTGTGCACGTGTGCATATAGGTGTATAAATATAAAACTCTATATGAAATGGTAAAATTAATTTTAGAAATATCAAAATTATGAGAATCTACTAAAATGTAAACTTAATGAGACCAGGACTATGGTTTTATTTTTGTTTTACCAGGGACTTGGTAAATATTTTCAGTATGAATGAATCATTGCTGTTTGAATAGCTGGATGCATGTGGCTTATGTTAACCTTTTCAAAAATTGGTTGATTTGGACCCAAGAAAAAAATTCACATAAACTGTGTACTTTAATATTTTAAATAACTTTGTGGCTTGCCTGCTTTAAAATATCTCAGAAATATGCAAGTGCTTCACATTACTAAAACCAGCTTGCAGAATCCTGTTGGCAGTTCTTAATGCCTGAGGGAAATGCTAATGTCCTCCACTTTGCTCACCCCAACCTTCTAAAGAATATTATTTATCTTTATGTGGCATAAATGTAAACCTCAAGGAAAAATATTGTGGAAGTTCCCTGCATTTCTGAGGTGTAATGCTGCAGGATTGTCCCTCAATTTTCAAAGCAGGATGGAACAGATTTCTACTAAATAGTTTATTATATCCTTAATGTTGCCATTTTGTCCCATGTTCCCCAGTCACATAATGGGGAGGTACAGAAACACACAGGGTTGTGCACTGATTCTATTGCATTTATTTTGCACACACGATGCTGCAAAATGGAGCAGCACAAAAGA